AGGAGAAGGGGCCAGAACAGACCGGGACTGGAGCTAGAGCCCTGCTCGCCAGGAATGGAGGGGAAGTAGGGGGGACGTGGGGGAGCTCAACTGAACATACGTTTTGATCATGGCCTTGAGGGCGGCTTTGCGCTCCCGGTCCACAAACTTGTCTATGAGGTAGCCAGACATACAGGGCGCGTGGCTGTAGAGCCGGAAGAAGCGGTGGTAGTTGCCCAGAGCCCAGGCTGCCCTCAGCGCCAAGGCATGGGCCACACAAGGGTCCGTCTTCAGCTCCCGCGTCAGGTAGGCCAGCTCCGTGGTGATGTCTCCCGAGTTGTTGGTGAAGATGTAGTAGAGGATGCGGTAGGCGGTGAACTCACCCACGTTGCCGGGCAGGCTCTCCGCATACAGTGACTTGAGCTGCGTCTGGCACTGGTTGAACTCCTCGTGGTCGCCCTGGTGGGCGGGCAGGGCGAGGAGGAGCAGAGTGAGGCTGGGGAGAAAGCCCGGGAGGAGCCCGGGAGCAGCCCGGCAGCCCACTCACCTTCTCCAAGGCGATGCGGGCGTGCGTCTCGTACACCTCCACGGTGAATTCGGTGCGCACGCCTTGCACCTGGGGCAGCAAGGAGAGGAGTCAGGCCAGAGCAGGGCGGGACGCACCCCCCACCCCCAGCCCGTCACCCGGCCCCAGCCCCTCACCGTCAGGTCCTGCCGGATGGACTTCATCTGCTCGCAGGCGAAGGCATAGTCCTGCTTCTCTTTCCACTGGGACTTGACCATGCACAGTGATTTCTTCAAGACCTGGAAGGCCACACATGGAGCTCAGTGACAGGCAGGCAGAGCAGGGACACTCCAAACCCCGTTAAGCCCCGCTAACTCGGTGTCTGAAATGAAGGCTGCAGCATCAAACCCGCCTAGTGGCCACGCGTGAGGAAGAACCCACAGACCGCGGGAGAGCTCCTGGGCCCAGTCCCACGTCAGCGCCCGGCCTGCGCGCACCCGGGACACGAACACTCACGGCCTTGTTCCTGGGCCTGTGAGGACTGGGGTCCTTTGTCCCATCTCGAGTAGGACCCGGAGGCCCGGAGGCCTGGCAAGTCCCCCGACAAGGCCGTGTGCTTGGGACTCAGGGCTCAGGGGCACAAGCTGTGCTCAGGTCACCCTCCGAGTGCCCACCCGGCCAGCCAGGCCCTGCCCTTCCCAGCACTTACCGCCACAGGGCGCACCGTGGACGGGTCGGGGGCACAGGTGAGACGCAGGTAGTGCTTGGTGATGTCAGGGCAGGTGCCCACGATCTGCAGCTCCTGCCAGTCGGGGTCGCCCCCGCTGCTCTCCAGGCCGCCCACCTGCAGCACCAGGGGCTCGAGACGCAGGCGGCGGGAATGTCCGTGCTGGAAGCGGGCTGCCCGCTTCTGCTTCTTCAGCTCGCGCTCGGGGTCCTCACACTCCAGCGCCGCCATCCTCTTGCGGTTGCGCTTGGTGGGCGCTAGATCATGCCTTGGGGGGAGGGGGAGGGGGGGAGGGCCGGTGAAGCAGACAGGCATCGAGCACCACCAGGCCTCTGCTACGCGGTCCAAGGGCACAGCTCCCTCCCTGGTCACCCACTCAAAGGCTCACTCACCTCTTCCCTCGCTGCGCCCTGCCTCGGCCCCGATCCATGTGGGCCCCCCGACCTCCTCGGCCTTTGGGGGGCGGGTTCCTGCGGCCCACAGGTTGGCACTCATTCCCTGAGTAGGAACTGTCCGAGTCCGAGTGCGAGTCACTGTGTGGAAGAAGCAGGAAGGTGAGGCCCGAGCTGGCTCCCCCGCAGGCCCACCCCGCCTGGAGCCTGCACCCACCTGCGGCGGAAGTGGCGGGTCGGGGACCGGGAGGAGGAGCGGGAACGGGATTCTGTGCTGGAGGAGGAGCTGTGGTCCTTCATGAAGACATTGCGGTTGCCGAACTTGGCAAAGCTGCCCCGCGCTCGGCCAGCACCCCCAGCCCCTGGCGTCCCGCGCTGTGACTGGGCACCCCCGCCCCTGGTCGTGGCGCCTGCCCCCCTGGGAGGGTGAAGGCTGCTGGGGGCCTCCCACCGCTTCTTCTTGGGGCTCTCTGCCACCGTGTCCCGCGTCAGCCTGAGGACAGAGCAGGACATCACCAACCCACGCCTCCCACCCAACCGGCCATCTGCCCAGGGACGCTCCACCCTGGTGATTCACCCACCTGCCTCCACGGGCCTCGGCTCCACCCCGGGCCCCACCCAGCACCCAGGCAGCCCTGGCCTCGTCTCCAGGCTGGACTCACCCAGGCAGAGGCTCCCGGCTCCAGTCGATGGTATAGGCCGAGCCATCCTGGAGCCGGGCCTGCAGCACCTCCTTGAGCAGCTTCTCCGTGCGGTCCTTGTCCTCTTCCGACTCGCAGGCCGTGAAGCAGCGCTCCACATACTCCTTCATGTCCTGCGGCCAGTCGTCTGGCTTCCCGGACAGGCTCCCCCTGCACAAGGGCGGAAGTGGGCACTCAGCTGGGAGCACCCACTCCGGCAAAGCCTGTCACCACCGCCGCTCCGTGAGCTGACGCACAGGCAGGCCCGACTCCAGCGTTTCTTTCCCTCCGTTTAACGCTCACAGCAACCCCGAGGGAGCCACCGCCCTCTGAAGCAGCAGGGCCTGCCTGGCGCCCTCGGATGCCGAGTACCAGGCAAGGGCCATCACCTGTGGTTCTGGGCCTTCTCGGGGTTGGGCTGGGGGCCGAAGCCGCTGTGCTGGCCCTCCGAGGCGGAGCTGAAGTTCTGGTTGGTGACAGCGAAGGGCCGCTTCTGAATGTTGAACTTGAGACCACCAGTGCCGGGGGCCGCTGGGGGTGGGGGAGCAGCGAAAGCTGGAGTTAGGCCTACCCCAGCCCCCGGGAACGGCAGGCCCAGCTCCAGGCAGCCCCCCGAGGCCTTCGGACAATCCCTGCACCCCGTGCCCCCGCAGAGGCTGAGGTCCAGCGCGCGCCCTGGCTTCCCTGCGCTGCCCACTTACGCTTCATGCGGTTCCACAGCTGCTGGCCCTTCTTGGGCTTGGCCGGCTCGGTGTAGGTGTGCTGCCCGTAGGCCTGGCCCGAGGTGGGCCCCGCCTGGCTGTGCTGTGTGGCTGGCGTTGTCCCAGGCTGGGGGCCGCTGTTCAGAGCGTGAGCCCCATGCGAGGGGTTGGAGGGCTGAGGGGGCTGAGCTGCTGGCAGCTGCTGGGGAGGGGCCTGGTAGGACATGCCGTCATCCATGCCGGGGACGGGGGGCTGTCGGAGGAAGTGGCGCTGAGGGTGGGAGCAGAACCTCCGGCTGCTCTCACACTCAGGTCACATCACTCAGCTTTCAGCCCGGCCATGACCCTCCCCTGGGGAACGGGGTCTCCTAACCACCCTTCCACGGCTGAGAAGGCGGGAAGATGGGCTCAGACAGGCGCTCCTTTCCCATGGCCCCAGCTGGTAAGTGGCAGCAGCCTCCCCGCCCCGCCTCCCCCCATAGTGGTTATGGTCTGAGCACGTGTACCGTATCAGCCATGGCGCACACATGATTACACACTCCTAGCAGCTCTGTAATAAGCGAGTCACCATTCTCACTGAGCTGGCTGAGCAGCAGGTCACAGAACTGTACTCACACCCCAGAGGGGGTGCTGGGATTCGAACCCAGATCCCTCGCCTCCCTGCACTAGCCCCACCACTCCGCCAAGGTGCATGTAAGTGCAAGGCCAGGTCATGTGTGCAGCTGTGCACAGGTGCACATGCAGGGGGAACGCACAGATAAGCTGCCACACTACAGACTGCCCCCACCATCACCCCAACAGCCCAGGCCCTGGCCTTGCTAAGCCCCAAACCCATCCTGGTTTCAAAACCTCTGCTCTGCCCTCTTCATTCTCAAAGCAGGACTTGCTGGGCAGGAGGCGGGTGGCTCAACAACACTCACAAACTACATCCCCAGCCAGAACCTGACACAGACACGGGCTGGGCGTTACCTGGTTCAGAGTGCCTTGGTGCTGGGGGGCTGCTGGCTGCTGGGGTGTGGCTGAGCCGTAGGAGCCGGCCATCCCGTACTGGGAGGGGGAGCCGTAGCCCTGGTACATGCTCTGCACAGGCAGGGAGGAGGGTGAGTGGCAGGCTGGCTCCCCTCCTCCTGCTGCTCAGCAGCCAACGGTCCTGACCCTCCCCTCATCACTCACCCCTCTGCTTCTCTCTCTACCACATAAATGCACCAAATTCTCTCACATTAAGGAAAGTGTTAAATAAAATTAAAACCTCTAGCAAGCCTATATCCCACTTGCGCTCGCTCTCAGAATCCTTTCCCTATTCCACAGTAACTGCTGTGTGCCAGCTCCTCTACGTGGGACCCTGGACAACCCCTGCCCGAGTGAAGCTGGCACTCAAAGTACACGCGGCTGCAGACACTCGTAACCCGTAAGGAAAAGGCCAAGGAGAGCAGCAGAGCGGAGGGCAGGGCGCAGGGCGTACGCCTTTCAATAACAAAGCTTCTCAGAGAAAGGCGCCCTCTGGGGGGCGAGGGAGGACACAGGAAGCACAGTGGCCGCAGCGACCGCGTGGCCGAGTTGTGGGCAGATGGAGGTCCTGTGCAATGAGCATGGGGAGGGCAGCGGGGTGGGGACCCGGAGTTCCACGGGGACGGGGACGGGGATGGGGACGGGGACGGGGACGGGGAGGGTGCGCTCACCACGGGGTAGTAGTAGCTGTAGGGGTAGGCGTAGCTGTACTGCTGGTACCACTGGTAGTACTGCTGCTGCTGCAGCGCCGAGGCTTCCGCCTGAGACACATACTGTGGGGAGAGGCCCACACGCCGTCAGCCTGGGCAGCAGGAGCCCACGGGCCACGGCCCCCTTAACCAGGAAACAGGGTAACTGCCCAGGGACAGAACTGGGGCCGTCTCTCCAGAGCCACCGCCTCTGCCCTCAGACTCAGGCACCTCAGGGACAGGGACACTGGCACCCTGGGCGCTTCTCCGAACAGCCCTTGCCTCCCCCACTCTGGGAGCACTGGGGCTCGGTGGGTACCAAGCTGTCCCGCCCCCAGCGACCCCCCCCCCAGGGTGCCCAGGCCGCGTGGCCTCCTCACCTGTGAGCCGGCCACAGGCCCGTTGCTGCTGGCCTTGGAGCTGCCGGCCGCGCCCGCCTTGCTGATGCTGGCCAGGGCCTGGCGGGCCTTCTCCCACTCCGGGTTCTCGTGCATGGGCGTCTCCATGCCGTTCTCCCTGCCCGCCCCGGCCACCATGCTGTACTGGGAGGACCTGCGGAGAGCACAGAGCCGGCTGCTGTCCCGACTGCGTGGGGAGGGGGGGCGGGGTGGGAAAGGCCACCACCCACCCTGTGGGATCACAGGTCCCTCTCCCTGGCCCCTGCAGCCTAAATCCCCCAATCTAGGACGTGCTGACACCCGGTTTCTGTGTCGGTTTTCTGTGTGGAGTCAATGAGATTCCCTATCTAACGGACTTGTGCAGGGCCTGGTGCACAAGCAGTTAAATATAAAGCAAACAAAGCACTACAACCTGCAGACCTGAACACGGGACCTGGTGCCTGGCAGGTCTAAGTGGTCTAGGAACAATGAATTCTGCCCGACACCACCCCACTCCGCAGGCTATAACCACACTGTTTTGGAAAAAATAAGGAATTCTTTCTGACAACACTCCACTCTGCAGGTTATAATCACAGTTTTAGAAAAAAATAAGGAATTTGCAAGAAGATAAGCGGCTGAGTAAGTGCTGGAGGTCGCCCCCACTCGGTTCACTGAACGAAGCATCGCGATCTTGCAAACCAGCACTGGACTGTGGCAAGTGAGGGCACCGAAGGCTTGACGCCCCCACAGGCAGCCCAGGCTCCCTCACTCTGCGGCCAGGGGGCCAGCCCTGCCCTGCCCCCCAGGGGTGCCGTCCAAGGCCCTACCCCGAGGAGGACGCTGGGGCTCGCTCCTCTTGCCACCCCCCCCCCCCCCGCCTCTGTCCCTCTAGCCCACTAACCAGTCGGTGCCGCGCTGATCACCCACATTGGCCGCCATCTGGACCCTGGGGTGTAAGGGGGGGACCTCGGGAGCCAGATTGCTTTTTCACCGTCTGCAAGAAAAGGATCTGTTAGGGCAGTGGTTCTCAACCTTCCTCATGCCGCGACCCTTTAATACAGTTCCTCATGTGGTGGTGACCCCCAACCATAAAATTATTCTCGTTGCTACTTCTTAACCGTAATGTTGCTACTGTTATGAATCATCGTGTAAATATCTGATATGCAGGATGTATTTTCATTGTTACAAATTGAACACAATTAGAGCATAGTGATTCATCACAAAAACAATATGTAATTATATATGTGTTTTCCGAGGGTCTTAGGCGACCCCTGTGAAAAGGTCGTTCGACCCCCAAAGGGAGACTCAAGCAGCAGCAAAGGAAACGTCACAAAGTGGGGGCGAGAAGCAGGTGGACTCAGGGAAGCCAGGCAGGAAGGGGAGTGTGAGAGGGGACCCCGGGGCAGAGTGTGGGACCAAAGGGCCACCGTGGGGGGGGGCTGGCCTCCCTGCAGGGCTCTGGGTGGAAAGAGAAAGACTTGAAACAGACAGAAGTCTGAGGGGATCCCCCAGAGGGAAGGAGAAGGATCTGAAACCCACTATGAAAGGGAAAGAGGAGGGGCACCCCGAGACAGGGGGAGGTCAGAGGGCGGGGTGGGGGCCTCGCCAAGGGTGAGGAAGGACTCTGTGAATTCCTGAGCA